CCCTTTTTCCACATCCTCACCAGAATTTGTTGCTGTTTGTATTCTGGATGTTGGCCATTCTAAATGGTGTGAGGTGATATCTCATTGTGGTTTTAATTTGCATTTCTCTGATGATTAGTGATGTGGAGCATCTTTTCATGTGCCTGTTGGTCATCTGTATTTCTTCTTTAGAAGTTTCTCTTCAGATTCTCTGCCCATTTTTCAATCAGGTTATTTGATTTTTGGTTGTTGAGAGCCATGAGCTCTTTATATATTTTGGATGTCAACCCCTTATCAGATCTGTCATTTATGAATATATTCTCCCATACTGTAGGATGCCTTTTTGTTCTACTGATGGTGTCCTTTGCTGTACAGAAGCTTTTTAGTTTGACATAGTGCCACTTGGTCATTTTTGCTTTTGTTTCCCTTGCTTGGGGAGATATGTTCATGAAAAAGGTACTCATATTTATATTCAGGAGATTCTTGCCTATGTCGTCTTCTAAGAGTTTTATGGTTTCATGACTTACATTCAGGTCTTTGATCCATTTTCAGTTTACTTTTGTGTATGGAATTAGACAGTAATCCAGTTTCATTCTCTTACATGTAGCTATCCAGTTTTACCAACACCAGTTGTTGAACAGGCTGTCGTTTCCCCATTGTATATCCATGGCTCCTTTGTAGTATATTAATTGACCATATATGCTTGGGTTAATATCTGGACTCTATCCTGTTCCACTGGTCTATGGGTCTGTTCTTGTGCCAGTACCAAACTGTCTTGGTTACTGTGGCTTTGCAGTAGAGCTTGAAGTTGGGGAGCATAATCCCCCTGCTTTATTCTCCCTTCTCAGGATTGCTTTGACTATTCAGGGGTCTTTCATGGTTCCATATGAATTTTAGAACTATTTGTTCCAGTTCGTTGAAGAATTCTGTAGGTATTTTGATAAGGACTGCATTGAATCTGAAGATTGCTTTAGGCAGGATGGTCATTTTGACAAAAGCAATTCTTCCTATCCATGAGCATGGGATGAATTTCCATCTATTAGTGTCCTCTTTAATTTCTCTTAGGAGTGTCTTGTAGTTTTCAGATTATAGGTCTTTCAGTTCCTTGGTTAGGTTTATTCCTAGGTATTTTATTCTTTTTGATGCAACTGTGAATGGAATTGTTTTCCTGATTTCTCTTTCTGCTAGTTCATAGTGTATAGGAAAGCAACAGATTTATGTGTATTCATTTTGTATCCTGCAACTTTGCTGAATTCAGTTATTAGTTCTAGTAGTTTTGGAGTGGATTCTTTAGGGTTTTTATGTACAGTATGATGTCATCTGCAAACAGTGACATTTTAACTTTTTCCTTGCCAATCTAGATACCTTTTCTTTGTGTTGTCTTATTAATGCTTCTTTAATAAATATTTATGATAGCTTTCTTAGTTGAGCTAATTCAATTACATTCATCAGGCATCCATTAAGCATACACAGGCAATACTTAACACTTTGTTGTGTTACAATCTCATAACAGATATAGTTACCAAATTTATCAAATGCAAAAATAATAAAATATGACAGCATGTAACTAAGAAGCCAAAATCAACATTATGTGACAGTGACTCAAAGGGAGGGATACATCAGAAATACAAAGAACTTAACTATATTCTATATATGGTCATCTTATTTGGGGTGCAAGGAAATAGCTGAGTGATTCTGAAATTCCTTCCTAACCAATCTTCAAACCCCAAACACTCTTCCAACCAATTTCTGCAATTCTAGATAGTCAGACAGATCTTTAAAGAAGGCAAAAACTAAAGTAATAATGCTTAAAAACTTTTAAAGCAGTGTTTCTAAAACTAAGAACAGACACATTTCTTGAAATCTATTCTTAAGTTTCCTATGAGAATTTTTTAATTTTATATTTTTCTCTTAATGATATTCACCATTTTCAACATATGAAATATTCCATATCATCATTATTACATTTTAACTGAACAATGCCTCACCATTTTACTGCCCAAGTCTGTTTTTATGATTATGATCATGCCAATAGGTAATTTTAATTCCAGCAGACTACTAAGAAAAAATTAAAAAATAATAGTAATAAAAAAAGAATTTTAAAAAGCAGACTTAATTTGCAAATGTACCATGGGAGGGCCAAACAGCATGCCCCCTAAGTCAATCAGTCTTAGCAGTAGTTCAAATAAAGTAAATTAGTTTAAATGTCAAATACATGGTTATATAGTAGGTATGCTAGCCTCATAAGAAATGCAACTACTAAATGAGGAAACAGAAAATAAAATCTTAAATAATAATAAACAATAAAGTATATAAACAAGGGCAAAATTAATGCTACACAGAAGGGGTTCTCACAAGACACAGTGCATCAGAATCACCTGGGAATCTTTTTCCAACTATGTAACCTCTGGGAAATAATATCAAAAATGATGATGGTATCTAATAAACCATTCATTTCACTAATACAATGACAATCTAAATTTTAATACTTTTCTAGTTTCTTTATTCGAAAACTTCCATTTTTTTATAACTGTACAAAAACTATACACATAAGGTAATGATACATAATTTAATATTTAAACATTTCAGTTATACTATAATTTTAAAAAATAGAAATTTATGTAAAAACTGAGTGCGATGGTTAATTTTATGTGTCAACTTGCCAGGCCATGGGGTGCCCGGGTTAAACATTAATTCTGAGTGTTTCTGAGAGTGTTTCCAGATAAGATTAGCATTTGAATCCATGGACTCAATAAACAGATTGCATTCTCCAGTGTGGGCATCATCCAATCCCTTGAGAGCCTGAATAGAACAAGGCAGAGGAAAAAGAATTTACCCCATTTTTACTGCCTCACTATTGAACAGGGACATCTTATTTCATCTTCTCCTGCCCTCAGACTGGGATTTACCCAGTCTCTCTCTTGGTTCTCTTGGTTCTCAGGCCTTCAGAGTTGGACCCTTTGAGTAAATTACAGAATTGGCTTACCTAGGTCTCCACGTTGTAGATGACAGATTCTGGGACTTTGCAGCCTCTGTATTTGCCCCATAATAAATCTCCACTTTATTCACAGAATATCCTACTGTTCTGTTTCTCTAGAGAATTCTAATACACTGAAAAATCCACAAAAATTTACCTTTGGTCAGCTACATTCTCAAACTTACCTATGTATTCTCCTGCAAGGTTTCTAAAAGAAAAATCTGAATTACACCCCTAACAGAATGATCTTAATAAAACAGGGACGAGGCAACAATTTAAACATCACAGGTCATTCTAATTC